AAACAAGGGATCAGAAACTGCTTTGTGGGTTTAATTCTGCTGTAATCGTTTTCCTCAACTGTAAAACTCTTAATTTGCTGTTTTATTTTGGCTTTTCTTTAGCCGGATACATTGCAATGACATTATCTATCGCATCTAATTCCTTTATGAAGCTTTCATATCTATGGGCCAACAATATATTAAACATTCACTAATTACGGGTTTTGTGGCTGTTTTTATGTTTATTCCTTCAGGACTTCCAAACCAAAGTGGGCATACATTAGACTTGCTCCGCTTAACCTCATGCTGTTGAACTTGCTTTTACTAGATCTGGACGTACAGAGTTTAGAGTTTCGGTAAAACTTCTTTGGTGACGATCAAATCAGTTCAGTTTTCGAGCATGATCGGAACCCACATCAACAACTATATCACACTCCTCAACAAGGCTTCCATAAAACCCGAGGCTTTTAAATGAAGAAATAGAAAAACCAACATATTGTTCTTGTGTTGGCCAGTGTTAAGCTCTGGCCAAAAATCTTACCAAATGACCAAGTTCTTCATGAGCAAGATGGTTTGTGAATTGATGCATTTTAAAATAGCTGACGTTCAGTTTTTGATAAATAATTCGTTCTTATTGCGAAATGGGAGCACTATTTATCAATCTGTAATAAAAGACGTGAGGAAATTCTGTCTTTTTTAAAGACAAAAATTTTTGAGGCGAAATACCCAAAAAGAAGTTTGTAAAAAATCGGAAGAAGAAGTTACTATATGGTTTCTGACCCTCTCGGCAGGGATTATTTACGTTATAAAGCCCCACGAACGAAAGTGCTCAAAATACTTGCCTACTGATTGCTGGTGCGCAAGATGAATATGTTGGACGCCTTCAGGATGGATCCGAGCAAGCAAATGATAAAACTGAAGTAGATATTGTAGCTGCGGAAGTCTTTGCTAAATTGTTTTAGGTCGCAAAACGTCACGTTGCCGCTCGCAGTCATCGTTTACTGTTTCGCTTGCGGTCCTGCGGGCTTGACTCACGTTGTTGGCTTCATTTTTAGGGCCTCCGCCCCGGCCTGCAAATAAAACAAAAGCTCAAAGTGCTGTTTCTTTTCGGAATTGTTCCTTAGTCTGGAAAGGGCTTTGACAAGGAAATCGGGATGGAAAGTCGCTTGCTTTTATTGAGCAGGTGCTTCCAATTCTGACAAAGCCCCTACGACTGAACAAAGAGACGTGGGCAGTCACGGCCATTGGAACATATTAAGCAAAGATCCTTCTGATCGGAGAATCAAACGGTCAACAAGTCCAGGTCTCGAGTTGTGCTAATCCCAAAACAGATTTTGAGCAAGGGCGGATCCAGAGCCCTTATGGGGTTTATGTCGACTAACGATATTTTTCTCTAATTTAATGGATAATTGAGGAAAATAAATACTTCGTATGACGTCAAACGCTAACGCTAATGACGCGTATATTATAGATATTTTGCGGTTATTATAATTATATGGCTTATCAGTTCCTTGAGTATGAATAAATTAGTAACCCTTTTAATACGGGCCCGATTTGGATCATTGAAAATTGGTTCCAAAACAAGTGGTTTTGGTGGTCTAAAATTTGTGGGAAAACGAACGATTTTCTATAAAAACTGCATCTCTGGAAATTGCAATCGGTTAAGGTCGAAAAGACGATTTCCCGAACAAAATACTTTTAATTTTACCGCAATTAACTCATTTTCAAAATAGAACATCAAAGTGTTCGCAAAGTGTATTCTCGACACATTCATTGCCTATAGAAAAATTTGTATTTGCAACAGTTTGGAACGAAATGGGCTCTGAATGTATTCAGATCCGGAATAATTATTTTTTCTCCCATCTTTTTCAATAAGTTCGATGCAATTCGCATCGGTGAGCAGAAGAAAATGATGAAAATTTTTTATTAAAAAAAAAATCGACCCACCCTTCGAAAAACTTCGGCCAAAAATCAAAATTTCACATGCATATTTTTTGAGCTAAATGGATTTCTTTTGACGTGAGAAGGTCACAAATATGCATTTGTAAAGTGTTTGGGTCAATAATAAGGAAGAAATCGTCGGATAAAGAGCGTGGACGCTTAGAATGTGCAGAAAATGTCTATTATTTCGGATCTGAAACGCATAGCATTTTTTTCAATCAGTTCGATGCATTTCTCGCG